CCATGCGTCTTTAAAAACTGGCCTGTCACACACTTTTCTACAAATATCCCAAAGATGAAAAAATCTACCACACGTTTTACTCTCTATTTGCCTTGCTGAAATCAGCCCTCATGCCACCCATGCACAAGCGGGCCAATGTCAAGTCAAGCTTTAGTTACCATGACGACCAGGGGCAGAGGCTTCACGGCCTGGCTTTTGTCATCTTGCCATTAAGTATATGCATAACGATAGGCTGCATCTTACCAGTGAGTTTGTGGCATTGCAGGCTGCCATTTGGCTCTTTTACATCACTTGCTCCGCGTTCTGGTGATTGATTGCTTGGCTGTCTCCTCGTCGCTGTGTGTTGGTCGGTTGCTTACTTCTACTTATGGAAGGAGAGTCCATTTGAACTCATGGAGACAGCAGTTCATACACGGGACTCGATCTATGTGGTGTATGGGCACATCACCAGTCTGTTACATAACAGCTAAACTGTCTCAAATAAATAGTCTCACTCCAGAGACCCAAGTCAAATTTACATACGTCCCCTTTGATTGGAGTGTTATCGACTTCTTAGAACGGGAACATCAGCCAGGTGTGTTTTTCGTCATGCATTGTAAGTGTCAACAACTAATCCGTTGTAGTCAAAGTGAAACAACAAACACAAACACGTTTATTGATTTTTTTTTTTTTTTTTAAACAGCAGAACCTTGGGAGTTGAACACCAGCTAGTTTTTACATTCTTCACTGAAGTTAACCTCGGTGAACACAACGGTCATGTAGACTAATGGACGGAAAAAGATCTTATTTGTGGTCTGTTGGCAAGCTTCTATATTCACAGTCATGCAAATTATTTGTTCGTATTGTGCTGGACAGCAACATAGTTTCCTTTAACGTCTTTTTTTTTTTTTTTTAAACAGCAGAACCTTGGGAGTTGAACACCAGCTAGTTTTTACATTCTTCACTGAAGTTAACCTCGGTGAACACAACGGTCATGTAGACTAATGGACGGAAAAAGATCTTATTTGTGGTCTGTTGGCAAGCTTCTATATTCACAGTCATGCAAATTATTTGTTCGTATTGTGCTGGACAGCAACATAGTTTCCTTTAACGTCTGACATAATAGATTTGTTTGATTTCCGAAGCACATTTTCCTCATCAATTTGTGGTCAAACTCTAAACTGTAGCATTTTTTCGGTTTCACTGTACGTGCCATTTGATTTCCCGTCAACAAGGTTGCAAACGCAAAGAGCTCCGCGGCGTGTATTTGACGTCGACGTGCTTCCGGTCGCTTTCAAACCCCGTTGAAAACTTATTCCCCGAGGTCAATATTAAAAATTAGCCTGCCTTCTGATGATAACGTGTGGCCATCTGTTATTACCCAGGCCAGGCGCGTGACTCATGTTGCCTGCTGAGTCAGCCGGTTTGAACCACATCCCGGAGGGAATGTGATCAACTGAGATGCAGTGGGGTCCTTGGTTTGCAACGGTCCTGACATTCGACAATTTGAGGTTACGAAGAATACATTCGTGATAGACTGACTTGTTCTGAAAATAGAAAGCCCGCCCCCTACCCCCCCCCCAAAAAAAAAAAAGCAAATAGGTAGTTCGTCCTTACTTCTTGTGAGGAAGTAGTGAGGACGTAGTTATGAGTAAGATTATTTTAAGAAATGACATTATTTTCCAGGTGTAGGAACGTTTAATTAAATACGCGAGTTTTTCGTTGTGTTTGTGGGGTTTTGAGGCTAGCTATGGTGGATAAACGCGTTCGGCTGACAGGGGACAGGGGTAAAATGCCACAAAAGACTCATGAAAAAAGCAACAGGCGCTTACATACAAATTCAGGTTACGTCGTCGTCGTTGGAAAGGACTGCGTCGTAAGCCGAGGACCGCCTCGCAAGAATAAGATGGTGGTGCCGAAGTGGAAACCTTGTACTTCTCAATATGGTCGCTGGAGGGCGCCGACGACTCACTTTTTAGTCATCCAAAGTGAGTTGACATTTAGTGCAGTAACTATTCATTAATTGTGAAGGCAATTGTTTTTGTTTGACATGATAACTATGCAGCTGGATACATAGAACTCACACCCCATTCTTTCGTTTGAACTGCTGCAGCAGTCATAGCACAGATGTTGAATGTTATACATTTTTGTACACCAAATCACTCATGCAAGTTTGCAACACAGAGCATTTATTGTTTGTTTATGAAATCATTTTGTTTTGAAAATATTCACGGCCGCGATAAACGGTATCGCTCATGGTCTCTCAACGTACACCTTCATTTTGTTTTGAATAAATATTGCATGTTTGCTTCTTCAATCAATGTTGATCTCCTCAAATCGAAAAGGTGAATAAACTTGAGGAAAAAAAAAGATCTCAAGCAGAAATTGTTTTTTGTTACCAAATAATGTTTGGGGGCACTTACATGTATGTATATACTTATTTTTGGAAGACAATCATTGTTTTCTTTGGAGATTATATTCAATGCATTTGAAATACAGTCAAGATGGGTGATTTTCAAAGCGTGGTACGTATATGTTCTCAGTAATCCATTTGTTGCTTCAGTTCAGTTGAATTTACATTTTAAGTACAATATATTTGCATTTAAAATCATTTGGAACTATGTTTTTCACATATTTATGTTAATACAACTTTTATTTGACTTTTATTGCACAAGACATTTTAATTGAATCATTTGTTATGTTTTTGACATTATATTTTTACTCAATTGAAGTGCACTGTTAATGTTCAAACTGTGCATAATGTGACAGTGTCTTACAATTATATCATACAGTCTATGCTTGTTAGAAATAAAACTGGTCTTGACATTATTGATGTGGTTCCAAAAAAAAAAAAAAAAGGTGCTTTCACTTCAAAATTAAAGACATTTATAAATGACTCCTAAATATGATTTTGTATACTGTGCATACGATGGTGTGTTTTCAAAAACAACATGAAATTGTCTGTGTTCACCAAACATTACAATAGTTAGTTTGTGTATGTACAGGTGCGGCACAAATGAAAATGTAATTCAAAAGTTTATTTACGTCTGGTAACTTAATTCCACTTTTTGAACATAAACACTAAATGATGTTTTATGCCATATTCTAAATTCTTGCCATACACCTGTATCTACAGTATATTAAGCGTCATCATTCACCTCAGGTCTCGATGTGGAGGAGGCCTCATCTGTTTGAACAGGAAACAGATTGCATCCTGCAAGCACACTGCAGAACCTTCCAAACCCACACTGCACACAACTGCATATGTTCCCCGTACAAACACACACAAGTTCATGAAAAAGGGGTCATCACTTCCCATTTGACAAAAAGTACAGCAATTGTATGTACTTTTTGGGGAAAATAATACTCTTAAATGTGTACTCTCAATTTGTTTATTTTTTATCATCTACAATAAATCAAGTAACCAATTAATAAATAAAACAAAAATGTGCTATCTCTCTCTCTCTCTCTCTCTCTCTCTCTCTCTCTCTGTTTAAGATTTGTCGGTGTATTTCAAGGTACAATCCACTGTACCACTGGGTCTTCTTTCTTGAATGGGGCCCTGTGTGAGATATATATATATATATTAATAATCCTTCATTTTAGCATTTACAATTTAGCCAGTTAATAAAATAATGTGACATGTTAAATGTAAATCAAAGCACTTAATGAAAACGTTTTTGTTTTAGTATTTCAACAATTAAATTAACCAAGCATTTAATTAAATTAATGAAAAAATGTAACATGTATTTGGAAAAATTATAGAATTATAAATGTTCACTGTAACATGGCCGCTTTTTTATTTAGCAATAAATCAAGTAACCAATGATTTAATAAACTAAATGGCAAATGTGAAAAATATATATCTATATTTTTTATGTTTTCATTTTGATCTAGTATAAAGCTACTGGCCCGATTTATTAAAATAAATGAAACGTGTATTTAAAATGTTTAGTTTACTGGCATTTTTTTTACATTTATAATTCACAACAAATCACAAATTTAAAACAATTTAGTTAGATACATGAATAAAAAACAAATACATACTTTTTCAATATCACGGGCCTCTTGATCATATAAATAATGGGTCGGATTAAAGAACGGAGTGGACCGCGTATGGCCCGCGGGCAATACTTTGCAAAACCCGTGTCAGTGTTCCTAATATTGTGTCCAAAAACCACTACGCTCGTGGAACTAATGGGCAGATGTCGTGCTTTTGACCTCCACCCAGGTCGTCCAATCAGAAGAGCGTTCATCACTACAACCAGCCAACCAGCGAGAAGTGGGCGGGACTTGATGTCTGAGCAGTTACGGTGAACCTAGCTAGTTAGCCTAGCATAAGCTAATGCCACGGAGCTATGACATGCTTGGATACACACAGCCATGCTATTTCCAACGGCGGCTAACGTAACCTGGAAAATTCTTTAACTTGGCTGCTCTCCGGTCACGTCGCCGGGCTGTTTCGGGGAGGACTACGTACGGAGGGAGAGACGAAAAAAGGTGGCCGTCGGCGAGAAGAAGGTAAGGCGTGCCTTGTAAAAATCACTGGTGCCGCAGTATGGCTTGTTATCGAGACAAGCCCCGAGGCTAGCTCTTATTTTCACTTCACCGTACGTAACCTTCCATCAGCACGGCGGCTAACGTGGCTAACCAGTGGCTAGTTTCTCGCGACTCTCATCACCGTGTTCTATATTGAAAAACAACGGGCGTATTGTTAGTTTCGCAACGTAACGCGAGGTGTTTGTAGAAAAGTCAGTCCAGGTCAAATTTTTGTAAAGCGTACTAAACGTGCCTTATTTTTTTTCGCGAATACAAAAAGGAGACACTTAGCATTTCCCAAATGTCTGCATTTTCTAACGTGGAGACGCCCTGGTTGCATTCTTTATTTCATGTTTCAAAACATATTTTCGCGAAAAAAAAAGTTGTATATTTTGGAGACTCATTTTGAATATTATAATTATGGCATCTTGAGTAAATTTGTCTATTTGGTTGACGGGATTCAAGTTGAAATGTGACCCAAAAAGTAGTACAGTAGAGTGAAGGGAAAGTGACTATGTGAAGTTATCAATTAAGAGCAAGGTTGTCTATTTTCAAGAATAAAAATGGTGCATTTGGGGAGAAAATGTTTTGTTTGGAGTTTCAACTAATGTACACCAAGTCTTTATAAATTGATAATAAAAGTAATTTGGATTAAAGTGGAAATTTTATGATTTGAAAAGATACATTTTTCAGGCAAATGCAATATCTAGTTTTGAGATGAAATTTGGAACATTACGGGAATAAAGTTGGACATTATTCAAGAAAAATGTTGAATTTTATGGTGGAAAAAGACATTTTCAAGATTTAATTCAGACATTATGAAAATTCGATTGCGTATTTTAAAGGGCAAAAGTCATATTTGAGGGGAAAAGTCTTCCAATAATTAATGTAATAAAATGAGAATAATTTTGGGGGGAAGAGACGTTTATAATCAGTTTATTTTACGTTACATAATTGATGGATGAAAGTGGTATATTTTTAAGACTTAAATAGTTTGGGTGATAACCTTTTTTAATTGTACATTCAAGTGATTAGAAGAAAAATCTTTTGTTTTCAAGGTAAATCGAGAGAGGTATACATTTCTCAAATATACAACAGTTTTTTTTTTGTTGTTTTTGTTTGCCCTGATCAGTTCATTCTTATTTATTTACTTATTTTTCCACATTTATTTTCCCCATGGCAAGTGTCAGTTATTTGTGGATTTTTGCTATTTACGATCGGGCCTGTTTACGGGTCCGCTGTCGAACTTTATTCTTGATCAGTTCATTCTTATTTATTTACTTATTTTTCCGCATTTATTTTCCCCATGGCAAGTGTCAGTTATTTGAGGATTTTTGCTATTTACGATCGGGCTTGTTTACGGTCCGCTGTCGAACTTTATTCGTGTGTATCTTTCTTCCATTGTTTTAACTTCACAGTTACCATATAACATACCTTTCAATTGAAAATAACACCGCAGCTGATAACATCATCTGTCATCTGCTTGTGCTCCAGTTTAAACAATACGCACACACAAACTTCCAAACTGATATGTACTGTGTAATTGTATGTGCCTGGTATTCATTATCGCCCATGTTTATTTTGATGTATGCTTATTCCACTTAGGGCTAACACTAAAAAGTGTGGGTGGGTCTGCCCAATCGTACAGTTTGTGTAATTATTGTCTGACTGACTGATGGGCCTCCTGACAGTCTCTCATTAAGTTTTTTGAGGGGGAGGGGGGCATTTGGTTGACTTGACGTATTCTCGTAGGAGGTTGGGAAGACCTCACACAAACTTTTTTTCCCCTTGGTGAAGCCCAATTTGAATTCGTTTTTTGTTTTTTTTTTTCTAATTGTACTTTGAGACCTGTTGGTAGTGGAAACCCGAAAGAGAAAGACATTTAGCAATTTTCTTCCCCCCACAATTTAAAACAGTTCCGCTGTTTTAAAATCACGAACAAAATTACGACATCACAAGACTACATGTCACTTGCGCTGTCACGAATGAATCTTTTTAGAATCGCTTATTCCATGAAAAACTCAGGTGAACGGTGTGATTCCTTACATTCAACAAAGCCAGAGGAAAAACTAAGTCAGACTTGTCCACGTATTTTGATTGAACTCACTAAGAATTTGAATTTTGAAGCCCAGGCTGTATTGATGTTGTTTTTTTAGGCTGCCAGGTTCTGGCATAACACCCTTTATCATAATTTGAAGAATTCCTAACTGCATTAAAGCTTTATTCAGCCTGGTCTGTTGACACTGGAGTGACGAGATCATTTGTCTTTTCCCTTTTCCGTTTTTTTTTTTTTTTTTTTAACCCAAATTCACATGCACCCAGAGAAAGGCCAGCGGCGACTCTGATGACAACTCAGCTTTGGCTGTTTTTTTTTTTTTTTTACTTTTTATTTTTTTTAAAGCTTTTCTATTGGCTAGTGACTATCAAGCGACAGGCTCATTTTATTGCTTTCTCTCACGTCCGGGACTCCAGCAGCCCAAAATCTGTCCCAACTGTGCTTATTGGTGAAAAAAAAAAAAAAAAACACCATTAAAAAAAAGCTGATGTTGCTCAAAATTTCCACGGTCAAATGACAAGTTGGAGACACACTGCTCCACTAAGTGGCTTAGGAAAGTTTCCTTTTCAGCCATGTGTTTTGTTTGATCTTCTTTTTTCAAATCGGAATGTTACTATTTCCTCATTTTCACTTCGGCTATAGAACAGATATTTTCCGTAGAGCTTTCATGCATGGAGGTCTCTCTAAACAGTCAGCTGACACGTTTTTATATGAACAAACATCAATGAAGGTCAACTGTAAGCGGGCGGGAAGGCACATTATGATTTTACGACTGCTTTTGTCTTGGTCCGTGATAGAGTACTGTTCATTCTGTCCAGGTTCGGGTTACATGACTACAGTAGGAATGGAATCCTTTTTTTAGGAGTTGACCGTATTGATGAAAATGTCACATTGTGACAGTATTGTTGAAAAATGATGCCAATTTTCTTGGGGAATTGGGCCCTAAAATTTGTATTATTTATTTTTTCCTGAGGAACTTTTTTTTCCCCTTGAGGCTTTGAATATGTTAAAACTGGACAGTTCCGACTGAAATAAATGAGAATACGGAGGGATTTTTTTGGGGGGTCTTTAATTTCGTAAAACAATGAATTTATCCATCCATTTTCCGATCCGCTTATCCTCACACGGGTCGCGGGGGGTGCTGGAGCCTATCCCAGCCGTCTTCGGGCAGTAGGCGGGGGACACCCTGAACCGGTTGCCAGCCAATCGCAGGGCACACACAGACAAACAACCATCCGCACTCACACCGAGGGACAATTTGGAGTGTCCATTCAGCCTGCCATGCATGTTTTTGGAATGTGGGAGGAAACCGGAGCACCCGGAGAAAACCCATTCGGGCCCGGGGAGAACATGCAAACTCCACACAGGGAACCGGAGCTGGAATTGAACCCGGTACCTCTGCACTGTGAGGTCGACGCTCTAACCACTGGACCAGTGGGCCGCCAACAGTCAATTTATTCTCATAAAAAGATTGTGTGCAAATATGACTTTTTACTCGTTATGTTTGGGCTTGATTTGAAAAGAAAGAAGAAAATGTTTGCATTACGATTATTTTCTGGTCGAATTTTCTGTCCGTCTTGTGACTTGATTCTCATGATTAAAACGTCGGATTCTTAATATTGAACTTGATTTCAAGAATTTTTTTTTCTTCTTGATTTCAAGTTTTGAAAATGCTTCTAAAATACCCATGTCAATAATTAATGTCAGTTTCTATTTCATCTATTTCATTTTTGTGCACCGAAAATGTCAGATTTTTGGTGCACGGTACTTTTACTTCCTCCTGTTGCTTTTGTTGTCCTTTATTGACTGCCTGCGTATTATTGTCAGCCACGTGGTGTGAAAATGAGGAAATGTGTCCTAAAATGTGGTCACGATGAGTTTCATGATGACACTGCATATCGAAAACGGCCGCAGAGATTGACCCATACTGGTAGAGATTGGACACCCGTGGCGAAACTGTCTCCATTTTGTTATGTGTTTTGTCTGACCAACACGCAACCTGGAATGCCTCCTGCTCTCGAGATGCTCTTACACAAGTTCCAACACGTGTCTCTCGCAGACTTCCTTTTCCCAAGTGGCTTATTTAGTCTTCTAGAGACAGAACCCGAGGGCTCGTATTAGCCAGGATGTCGGAAGCCGTCGTATTCCTTTCAACAACCCCCGTCTGCTATTGTCAACACGAAGTTTTACAAGTGGTTGACTGTTTTGAAGGCAACAGTGGACTTTTCTGGAAGACCACATGCGTGGTGCCTAAATTGCTTATCATTTATGGCTTCCCCTAATGAAATGACGGTTTTGAGTAGCCTAACACCACTGGAGCCAAACATTAAGTAAGCTGTCGTTGTAAAGTTGGGTTAGTAATCAGGGAGACACCTTCCTGTCGGCAGGGTTAATTTGATGAGGTCAACCGATGGTCTGTTTTGTGCTTGGGTGTCGCCTGAATGCACTGCAAGCAAAAACTAGTACAATAACTAGCAATTTAAGTACCGTATTATCCGCACTATAAGGCGCACCTAAAATCATTCAATTTGCCCAAAGCCGACAGTTCGTCATATAATCCGATGGGCCTTATGTATGGTGTTACAGTCTCTTTCTATTCTCCATTGAGTTGTTTCCCTGTTCATGTTCCTATGCCATCTAGTGGTGATTGTTAGCAGGAACCAATTGTAACCAAAAAGGGTTCTGCCCAACACTCATTGACATGTGCATTTGCCAACACACACTCAAAAAGACAACTACTTTGTGAGCTCTTCGCAGCCATTATGAAATGATGATAATACCCAAAGTATCGTTAACTACTGACTAAACCGGGGGTCAGCAACACGCGGCTTCGGAGCTGCATACGGCTCTTTAGCGCCGCCTAGTGGCTCCGTGGAGCTTTTTCAAATGTTTGAAAATGGAAAAGGATGGGGGAGTGAAAATATGT